TCTATATTGTAGCTAAGCAATGCAGCCTGGTCAAGGAGCCACCCTAGCCAGTGACTGGACAAAACAAGTGCAGCACGTAAGCATGTTCAAATTGTTGGCCTAAAAGTCATTCAGTTAGGGTTCATATTTAAAAAAAATATAAATATAATGGAAGACCATCCAAAGAGAGTGGCAAGTTTGCATGGAATAATAAATTAATAGACAGACACTTATTATAACCCCTCAAGAAAAGTCACACTTTCACCCTTGAATTCAAAATTATAACTTAAACCTTTTCTCTTAATGAAACTCAAAAACCCTTAGCACCAAAATATCAAACTATATAAATATAAATAATAAATACATAAAATAAAAAAAAAATATAACAAAACCTATATAGGAAAAAAAGGGATCCCTTCAAAAGAAGAAGTCCAGAAGTCCGGCAGTGACGAAACGCAACAGGGGACGTGATGTCTGGCGTAATACGCTTAACCGGAATTTGCAGCGCGACCATTTTGGAAACTGGAAAAATGTAGTTTTGAGCCATGGAGGATGTTTAAACTGGTCTGGATATGTTATGCTGATAAATACTATCCCCAATGTAAGATATTTATTAAATTTCGTTATACTATCTCTATATATATACTACGTGGGTCTCTTCTTTACCTTATGAGGAATTTGGAAAGTTGAAAGCTACTATATATACAGTGGATGGAAACTTGGAAGTGGTTGCTGTATATATCCTGCTAAGCTTGATATTATTCCATGAGGCTTGATTTTACTCCATGAGGGTAATTGCATTTTTTTCTGTGTGTGTACATAATTTTTCACATTTATTGGAATGTACACAGAGTGAATTTTCTTGCATGATTCACGTGTCACTCACAGTTGAATCTGGTTATTTATTATTTAATTTGCACCGATTAAGTATATACTTATTTGTTTAAAGGTATATACATTTAAGTGAATTTTTTGAAGGTAATACACTATTTTAGTTATATTTTCTCGAGGTATTACGTGGTCTGAAATGGAGAATTAAGTTGGACACACTGGATTGAAACATTTTTGGTGAATTACTTTTATTTGGATATTATATTTGGACACTATATTTTGGACTTTTGGATTTACATTTAAATTTTTTCCTATATAATTTTTGTTATATTTTTTTTTATTTTATGTATTTATTTAGATAGTTTGATATTTTGGTGCTAAGGGTTTTTGAGTTTCATTAAGAGAAAAGGTTTAAGTTATAAGTTTGCATGGAATGTCAGATATGCATCCGGAGCAAAGGTGTAAAATAAATGGCACTGGTAGGCTCTGTGTTTAATTTTAGTAATAGCACTGTCTGCACTTCTTGGAAATGAATCTAATTTTAGATTTTCAGTAAATATTTTGTTACAAAGGCACATCAGTGTTTGCGCTATTCATTCATCAGTCCGGTGCTCTGGAGATGGATATGTTAGGCTTAGAAGCACAAATCAAAATGTGGGCCCTGCTTTTCTGTGCAATGACTGGAGACTAAAAAATGGCTGGTATTCTGCCAGGGACCCCTTCATGGGAGTTTTGGGCTTACCTCCTGGCTACCCCACATTACTCTGTGAATACTTGCAGATGCAGAGGATAAATGGTGACAGGATATCTGAAGGCAGATATGTTAGGCTTAGAAGGCAGATATGTTAGGCTTAGAAGCACAAATCAAGATGTGGGCCCGCTTTTCTGTGCAATGATTGGAGACTAAAAAATGGCTGGTATTCTGCCAGGGACCCCTTCATGGGAGTTTTAGGCTTACTTCCTGGCTATCTCACATCACTCTGTGAATACTTGCAGATGCAGAGGATAAATGGTGACAGGATATCTGAATGCAGGAGTGAGACTGGGTGTAGAGAGCACTGAGATTGCACAGCAATGATGGCTCAGACTGGATCCAATACAATGGAAGTGGAGGGTGTGGAGACAGTGAGGTTGAGATTGAGGATGCTTCTGAGACTGTGTGATGTAGCAGAGGATCTAAAGGAAATGGAGGTAGAGGCTGTAGTTGCTGGGAAGACTGAAGGGCAGTTAAGGAGCAGCAGAGGCTAGGGATGCAACTGAATCCAAGCTGCAGTTGCAGCAGTGACTGGACTGTGAATGAAGTGGAAACCAGGCTGGGGTGCAACAGAGATGTTGGCTACAGGTGCAGTAGTGGCTGAGCTGCAGGCGCAGTGAAGACCAGACTTGGGTGTAACATAGGCTATGGCTGTGGGTGCAGCAATGTCTATATTCTGGTTTCAGCAGAGACCTGGTGGAGTGCAGTGAAGACTTTGTATGTGGGCGCATGGGTTTCATGATACAACATGTGATGCAACCACAACACTGTGGGTAAAACCCTGAAGTCTCTGGAGCTGTGGGAGATAAAGGGGGTGCCAGCAATGAAACTCAGAAGGTAATTGAGCATGACATTCTGACTAGAAAATCCCTTTCCTGCATGCAGAATATGCCCCATAAGATTGTGGGGTGACATTCCTCTCCACCTCCACAAAAAGTGGCATGTACTCTTCTCCCTCCCTGAATTTTCAAAAGCTATGGTCATGGCATGTGTTGAAATGTAATCGAGTATTATTTTCATCTGTGATTTCCTGTGCTCGTAAATAAAGAATAACTTATATATGTGATTTATTGATGAATACTGAAAAAAAAATAGTATTCTGACTCCAACTGTTGTATTAGTGACGTATCCCTTGCTGAGACCTCTATGCCTGGCCTGTATAAGCAGATACAATCACCTCAGAAAGTATTATGAAATAGGTGAACTCACCAAACGCCTGTTCTCTCATCCACAAAATCTTTATTGCATGCAGCAGGTTAACAGCAGACAAAAGATGTGACAGATGATTGAAAAGAGGGTATTTACAGGCCAAAACATGGTAATACATTCCCAGATGTGAGCAGATTACATGAGGCGTAAAGACAAGTGTCCATGTTCATCCCAATAAAGACAGTGAAAAGGAAAAGCAAATATATCATTAGCTAGTGGGAGGAACACAGGATGGAAAACAGAAAAAGATGGCATAATAACTAAAGTATTCACAAGATTGCAGTTTATTAACTAATTATACTTAGGCTAATAAACAATGGCTTAACTACTTCAGCTCCGAAAGATTTACCCCTCTTCCTGACCAGGCCATTTTTTGTGATATGGCGCTGTGTTACTTTAAATGACAATTGGGTGGTAATGCAACACTGTACCCAAATGAAATTTATGTCCTTTTTCCCCACAAATAGAGCTTTCTTTTGTAGGTATTTGATCACCTCTGTGATTTTTAGTTTTCTGCATTATAAACCAAAAAAAACGCAATTTTGAAAAAAAAAATGTTTTTTATTTTCTACTTTAAAACATATCCAATAAAAAAACACTTAAAAATCAAATTTCTTCAAGGGCAAAATGTATTCTGTTACATATTTTTGGTAAAAAAATCCCAATAAGTGTATATTGATTAGTTTGCACAAAGGTTATAGCATCTACAAACTATAGGACATATAATGACATTATTTTTTTTTTATTTTACTAGTAATGGCAGCAATCAGTGACTTATAGCAGGAGTCTGATATTGCGGAGAACATTTTTTGCACTAAACACTTTGTGGGAACCAGTGATGCTAATACAGTGAGCAGTGCTAAAAAAATATACACTGATTACTGTACTAATGACACTAGTTGGGAAAGGGTTAACATCTAGGGTGATCAAAGGGTTAAGTGTGTGCCTAGCAATGTGCTTGGTGTACACTAGAAGGTTTTGGTACAAGGGGAAGTGATAAATCATGTTCCCAGCTCTGCAGGGAAACACAATCCTTCACATTCCCCTGTCACAACAGAGCTGTGCCTATGCAGACATAGGCACAGCTCTGTTCTTTTTCTCTGCCTGACGATCTGCAGGGGCTAGCAAAGATTCATTTACTGGGACTTGCAGATCGGCTTCTGCTGTGACAGTTCACAGCAGAAGCAATTCTCCGGAAACGCATATGCCCCTGTGAGACGAAAGTGCAAAATTACATATATATAAATGTGATTTTGCTCAGGAGAACTGCCCTTTAGTAGTAAAACCGCTATGGGGCAGATGTAAAGTGTTTTTTATTAAAATTAACTATATAAATTCTCAATTAACAGTAATATCAACATTAACCATGACTATGCGTGCATTATATTTTCACACAATAAGTGTAACAGCACAAGTGAAATTTTGAGAGTTTAGCCGGAGTAATCTCCAAATATTGTATTAGAAAATTGCTTTTTTTCCATGTGAGCATTGTGTGCTGACTGTGGGATTTAGTATCAATTGAGCACAATGTTAAAGGATAATTACTTGATATTAATATGCAAATCCAAACAATAAAATACTGTATGTAAGGTTTAACATGTTAATATAGTCTCCAACGTAATTTTCAATATTTTTAAATCTATAGTGTTCCTTAAAATAATACCTGTTTCAATATTTTTAAATCTACAACGTTCCTTAAAATATTACCTGGTGATATTGTCAGAAGGTTCTTCTTTGCACACATCTTGGTAATGTATATAGGAGTTGATTTATTAAAAGTGGTGCAAAATTTGGTGCAGCTCTGCATATATACCAATCAGCTTCCAGGCTATTTTGTCAGCTTAACTGAACAAGCTGAGACAAGTTAGAAGTTGATTGGCTGCCATGCACAGCTGCACCAGATTTTGCACCCTCCAGTTTTAATAAATCAACCCCGTAGTGCCAATTCTCTGTCCCTGTTTTTCCATTGTGCTCCTGTGTTTTCATGGGTTTCAGATAAAGACTACAAGTGGCTCAAACTACAAACTGAAAATCATTATTTTAGTTTTATTATTTATGAATCATTTAGCAAACTAAAAAATATACCGTACTTTTCGCTCCATAAGACACACTTTTTTCCCCCAAAAAAATGGGGGAAAATGTCTGTGTGTCTTATGGAACGAATATGGAGCGGTCGGCCCGGTATTCCCACCGCCGCCATGTTAGAATACCGGGCCAGCCGCACAGCTCTACTGTGCAGAAGAACCTGCTCCTCGGCCCTACCTGTTCCTCGGTCCAGAGGTGCCCTGCTTTCACCGGCTGTCTTCTGTCCCCAGCATCTTCAGTGTGGGTACCCAGCTGTGACAGCTTGCGGCTTCACAGCCATGTGCCCACTGCACATGCATGAGAAGAGCTGTGCTATGTGAATGGCCACCTGTAGTCTTCTGGGACCTGTCACGTGTCCCACAAGACTACGGGGAGTACAACTCTGTGGAAGTGAGAGCGGATACCTGTCAAATTCGGGTACCTGCTCCCCAAAGGTCTGCAGTCTCTGGTCATCTCCTGTACTGTGTCCACAGTCTCTGGTCATCTCCTGTACTATGTCTGCAGTCTCTGGTCATTTCCTTTACTGTGTCCGCAGTCTCTGGTCATCTCTTGTGCTATGCCCACAGTCTCTGGTCATCTCCTGTACTATGTCCGCAGTCTCTGGTCATCTCCTGTACTGTGTTCACAATCTCTGGTCATCTTCTGTAGTAAGTCTGCAGTCTCTGGTCATCTCCTGTACTATGTCCGCAGTCTCTGGTCATTTCCTGTACTGTGTCCGCAGTCTCTGGTCATCTACTATACTATGTCCGCAGTCTCTGGTCATTTCCTGTACTATGTGCGCAGTCTCTGGTCATCTACTATACTATGTCCGCAGTCTCTGGTCATCTCCTGTACTGTGTCCGCAGTCTCTGGTCATCTCCTGTACTGTGTCCGCAGTCTCTGGTCATCTCCTGTAGTATGTGCGCAGTCTCTGGTCATCTCCTGTACTGTGTCCACAGTCTCTGGTCATCTCCTGTACTATGTCTGCAGTCTCTGGTCATCTCTGTACTATATCCGCAGTCTCTGGTCATCTCCTGTACTGTGTCCGCAGTCTCTGGTCATCTCCTGTACTGTGTCCGCAGTCTCTGGTCATCTACTGTACTGTGTCCGCAGACTCTGGTCATCTACTGTAATGTGTCTGCAGTCTCTGGTCATCTACTGTACTGTGTCCGCAGTCTCTGGTCATTTCCTGTAGTATGTCCGCAGTCCCTGGTCATCTCCTGTACTATGTCCACAGTCTCTGGTCATCTCCTGTACTATGTTCGCAGTCTCTGGTCATCTCCTGTACTATGTCCGCAGTCTCTGGTCATCCCCTGTACTATGTCTGCAGTCTCTGGTCATTTCCTGTACTATGTCCGCAGTCTCTGGTCATCTCCTGTACTATGTCTGCAGTCCATTGGTTCAGAATATTTTTTTTCTTGTTTTCCTCCTCTAAAATCTAGGTGCGTCTTATGGTCAGGTGCGTCTTATGGAGCAAAAAATACGGTAGTTTACATATTGATTGTGTAAGGAAATGTATATCCTCAAAAAAAGAGTTTGGAGAATGATATACTAACATGTAATAAAGAAATTCTAGATCTGGGGTAGGCAGCCTTTGGCTACGTTCACACTAGCTTTGTCAGCAGGCCTCAGACAGGCGTTTGGGAAGCGTTTTTAACGCTTCTCAAATGCCTATGAAAATTCTGCACATGGCAGCACACGTCATGGCAAAACTGAAGCCTCATATCCAGTCAGGAGGAGTGAAAGCCTCCCATTCAAGTCTATGGTGCCGCTCCTCAAACGCCTGGCAGGCGGTTGCGGAGCGTTGATACCATTTAATTTCATTATAGGTGTTTGTGGTGCAGTTTTAACGCTTGGTAAACGCCTATAAAATGCCTCAAAATCGCACATAGGGCATTTGGGGAGCGTTTGAGGAGGGTTAAAAACGCTTCCCAAATGCCTGTCAAACGCTATATAGGGGCGTTTGGAAAGAGTTAGAAATAAAGTCAAGTGTGAATGAGCCCTTAAAGAAGTAGAGACCCACCTGAACAACATGAGAGAAGTTAATGATCATCAGGCACAGTGTCGCCTCCTCATACATGATTTAAACCTCTCATTGCGCACTATCGTTTCGCAATTGCATGTATTGCACAGCAATCACAGGTTTAAAACAGGTGGTTAGGAGGCAACATTTCCCCTCCTCACCACCTGTCTCAGATCGCTTTTCAGAGGAGCAGCACTGCCTACTGCACTTGTGAATGAGCCCTTAGTTGCATATCACAGCGTTAGCCTTAGGGTTCATTACACATATAGTTAAGAGGTTGTAAAACCCTGTGGTTGAGTCGCGGTTTTACTGTTCTCAATCCCTACCCCAATTGGGGGGTGGCTGTTGAGGCAGTAGCCAAAGGTGTACACATGTCACAGCAGAAATTACACTTCCTGTTGCTTTTGGTGGGTGTTACTGCCTGCCAATCCATTCAAGTAAATGGGGCCACTCTGCAAGCGTCCTGCAACTGCATTCTTCTGTGGGGTCCAGGGAGTTAAAGCAGGTGGTGAGAAAGTAACACATCACTTCCTGCTTTAACCCTTGTTTGCTTCACTGCACAAGGTTGCAGGGCACTTACAGAGTGGCCTCATTCACTTGAATGGGTCAGGCTTGGCAGGTGCTATACCCACCAACCATGACAGGGTGTATAACTCCTGCTGTGACTGTGACATGTGTACACCCCTGGCCACTGCAGAAATAAGGGGGTTCAGTTGGGGCGGGTTAGTAAAAACATATCTTAACTATGGTGTTTTACCACCCCCCAAGCTGCATATGTAAATTAACCCTTACTGTTCTGAGCCCCCTTTAAGGCTGCTTTCACACTGATGTGCTGCGGTTTACCTGCATCGCAGGTGAAGGACAGTGCATTTGCCACTTTCCTGGGTTACCTGCACTTTGCCATAGACGTCTATTATATCTTGTAGATGTGGTGCAGTTTCAGAAAGTGCTTCAAAGAATATAATAGAAATCTATGGCTAAGCACAGCAAACAAGCAGGAAAGCGGCAGGTACACTGCACTGCACCCGCGGTGTGGGTAAACCGCAGCACATCAGTGTGAAAGCAGCCCTATACTATTATGCCCAGTGGATTCCTTCACACTGACCTGAAGATCTCTTCTTTTCTGCTGCTGGCACCACTCTGGAGACCACTCCCAGGGATAAGGGGTAGAGTGTAGTTGGTGTCACTCCGCATGGCACAGGAGCCAGCACTACAGAGGAAGCATTGGTTTATGTGGCTCTTGGTCACTGATACAGCTCCAACTTTACAAGTAGTCCCTATGCATTGCACTCTGTTTGCAGCTCTGGGATGGAGCATCGGAAAGGCAAGATTGAGATCTACCATTCACCTGTCCGTGATCTACTGGTAGATGGTGATCTACTGGTTGCTGACCCCCTGCACTAAATTTTGTGGTATAAGAACTGACTGAACAAAACAGATTTGCAGGACTTTATGAGTGCATGGATTTCCGTATTTTCCTTATAGATCCTGGAGTAATGGGTTTGTTTTTTTATGGTTGAAGAGTTGAGTCTTGCAACATTCCAGCTTAAATTTTCAGGTGATGTCTGGGATTCAGTGGTTACAGGCAGAGTATTTTTAAAGAAGAATTATTTGCCTGCTTTCCAAAGCAGATAGTTACTGTAGCTAAACTCTGAAACAGACATACTTGGCTCTATTCACTAAAGCAGATTGCATGCGGTATTTAGGTAATCTGACACATTTTCCACAAATAGTGCATGTGTTGTTGTTAATTCACAATCCCTTTATGCAGTATTTACCTCAAAAACCAAAAATGCTCAGTAAATACTGCATGGAACGATGTTAAACTTGATTCATTAATCTCAATAAATAAATAATGCATGAGTTAAATAAGTAGTGGTCCAGGCATGCGATATTGAAGGAATGTCAAAATATAATAGTCAGTATAGAGTAGTCTCTACCTTTTAGGAAGCTAGAGAGCAGGAGGTCATGTGAGGAGCGGAGAATACGGTTTGGGTGATATTTGGAGACAAGATCGGTGATATAATTTGTGGCAGAGTTATAAATGGCTTCATATGTTATTGTTAATGTTTTGCATTTTATCCGTTGGGCAAAATAAAGCCAGTGGAGGGATTGGCAGAGAGGGGTAGCTGATACAGAACGGTTAGTAAGGTGGATGAGTCTGGCATTCATGATAGACTGAAGAGGGGATAGCCTGCGATTAGGTAGGACAATGAGGAGGGAGTTACAATAGTCAAGGCGACATATAACAAGGGAGTGAATAAGTTGCTCAGTGGTTTCCGAGGTTAAGAACGGCCGTATCTTGGAGATGTTGCGGAGGTGAAGTCTACAAGATTTGGACAGCGATTGGATTTGGGACTGAAAGGACAAATAGGAGTCTAGGATTATACCTAGTACCCTGGCATGAGGGGAGGGACTGATGGTTGTGTTATTAATCTTGATGGAGAAGTCAGGGGGAGGGGTCACGAGCTGGAGGGAATACGAAGAGCTCAGTTTTGGAAAGATTGAGTTTGAGGAAGTGGAGTGACATCCATGCCGATATGTCGCTTAGTAGGTTAGTAATGCGAGAGGAGACTAAAGGGGTGAGGTGAGGGGTAGAAAGATAGATTTGTGTGTCATCAGCATAGAGATGGTACTTAAAGCCATGGGAGTTTATCAAGTGACCAAGGGAGGAGGTGTAGATGGAAAAGAGTAGGGGTTCAAGGACAGAACCTTGAGGGACCCCTACAAAAATAGGGAGTGAAGAGGAGGAGGCAGAGTTATAGGTAACGCTGAAGGAGCGCTGTGATAGGTAGGAGGAGAACCAGGAGAGAGCAGAATCTCAGAGGCCAAGAGAGTGGAGTTTTTTAAAGGAGGAGGGGATGGTCAACCGTATCAAAAGCCGCAGAGAGATCAAGTAGTAAGTGTATGGAGTAGTGGCCATTGGTTTTAGCAGTTAGTAGATCATTAGTGAGTTTTAGTAGAACAGTTACAGTGGACTAATATCAAAGAAATAGTGCAGCGTTTAAATCAATAGTCCTCATTTATTCCCGATCAGTGGATGTTCCTCAATACGGAATGTAAGAAATGCCCACTCACCGGAACCGCACTTGATACAGTGCAGTGTATGATTGCTATTCCCTGGTGTCACTGGAAGTGTACATCTGGTTCAGCCCTTGGAAGAGTATCCCTCTTTAGATCAGATAGGTCCAGGGTCACAGCAATTAAGGCTCCGACACAGAGTTGGGTGTATGTATGGGTGTTGCTTTTGCAGTAAATAGAAACCTCCCACTCTGGATGGAATCAGAGTAACACAGCTTCTGGAAAAAAGTACTCCCCATGTGGGATCAAAGCAAAAAGGTGCCCATGGTGTGATAACGTTTGAATAAAGCGAATTTTTTTTGAAAGGACAAAGGATGCATCCAATGGATAACAATAGGAACGGCAGATAGCAAAATAAAACACTAACCGTCCCTAGAAGGAAATGGCCGCCGGAGCTCCATGATGCTCCAACGGCGTGACGTCAACGGCGCGAGCAGGCTCCTCCTTACGCATTACGTGCCACGCACATCGTCAGAGGGTGAGCTGGTCTGTAGTGGACTGTAGTGAGCGAAAGACAGACTGTAAAGGGTCAAGAAGGTTGTTGTCAGTGAGGTAGGAGCTCAGGCGATTGTAGAATAAGAGTTCTAGGAGTTTAGAGGTAAATGGCAGCAGGGAGATGGGCCTTAAGTTGTTCAGGTTGGTGGGGTCCAGGGAGGGATATTTAAGTATGGGAGTGATGTGTGTATGCTTTAGAGGGGAGGGGAAGGCACCGTTAGAGAGGGAGAGATTAAAGATGTGAGTGAGGGAGCATAGGATGGAAGAAGAGGGTGACCGTAGTAGTTGTGAGGAGACAGGATTCAGGGGGCAGGTAGTGAGACGTGCTTCTGAGAAAACCTTAGTGACCTCTTTGGTAGTAGCAAGGTCAAAAGAGGAAAGTGTTGAGGGAGGATTAGTATAAG